CTACATACATAGGCTTTCTGAAGCATAAAAAAGCATAGGAGCCTCAGGTTTTGGTCACCTCATGAATGCCAAGTATCTGGGTTGGCTTATGCTGGCAGCAGGGAGGAAATGAAGGATTTGTGTAGGCAATATGCAAGAATAAGGATAAGCTCTAGACCATTGAAGGCAAACCTTTTAGAGACTCAGTGCTCAAACTGCAACCCAAACCCCACTTATTTATTGGAAAATGCCAACACTGCAATTAAACCTAAATATCTGATGTTCAGCTGCTGGGGTAACTTGGCTCCCAAATTGAAAAAGAGGGCTCTGCTTGGCCGGGGATTTAGCTCAGTGGTTCCGCCACCTGCCTCGCAAGCGCAAGGGCTGGAGTTCAATCCTCGATACCAAAAAAAGGGAGGGGGGGAGGTCTGCAGCATGCATGGTATAGGTTCTTCACTGCTGCTCTACACAAGTTCCCTCTACCAAGTCGCCTCATGGAAGATGGATTAGAAATCTGCTGACACCAGGGAGCCCTAATAGAAGATCATTGCTCTAGTCCAGGCAACAGACAAGTAGTATCTGATGTGTGGTTAAGATGGGTATGGACTTAGAAGTTTGGATGGGGAGCTTTCTAAGACTTCTGTAGAGAAAATACTCTGCAGAACTTTGATTAGGATCATTTGTGGGGGAAGAAGAGGATATGAATGAGCTGTCAGAATGAAGCACCCTAGAATTCCCAGATAGCTAGTTGTCTTTACCTTAGATTTTGTGTGTTCCCCGAAGTGTGTGTGTGTGTGTGTGTGTGTGTGTGTGTGTGTGTTAGGCTCCTGAATATGCAACTGCATGTGGATGTGCATCTGTAGGCATCTAAATGCATCTGTACCTTTCTCTGTGCATTTTATGTTGTGGTTAAATTGATTGGCTAAAGCAATGACTTCATATTGCTATCTGTGTCTCTAGGTGCAGGAATAGGTAAATTTTTCACCAAAGCATGTCTCTGAATTCTGTTTGTTATTCTAGGCTGTGATGAATTTGATTGGTTAAAAGCTATTTCAAACTGTGCTCCCATGGCACAGCTAAGGCTTGAAATCCAATTACTGATGGCTAGAGAAGATACCCTAATGCATATGGTAATTAGATGGTAATTTAGAACCTTACCCCCTCTCTGCAAATCTATCCTGCTAAGTGAGACCAAAACTAGCAGCTTTTTTTTC